GTAATCTCGGGACCGTCGGTTACACCCGGTAATCTCGGGACCGACGGTTACACCCGATAATCACGCCGCTGGCAGTAGCTCACATCGGCCCCTACCGAGCTTCCCGGTAGGTTGGACCTCGGCCAGGATCACCTCGGCCCTCATACTTAGCATTTGTCGACGCTAGTGGTGGTGATCTCGGCGGTCCGAGCTGGGCATGAATCATGAGTCATCTTGGAGCACCAATAGGGGTCCTCCACGTGTCCAGGGTATTCTCTTTCCTAAACAGAATTGTAGAAGAATCCAGTGTAATGAATGGGCATGAAACCTACTGGTTTGTGTCTACTGTATACTGAATTAAACCAACTACTTTCCTAAAGATCTTCAATTGTCGTTTGTAAATCATGTATGACCAGGGGCAAGCAATACGACAGTTTTCTTAAATGTCTTAATTTATACAGTGCTTGAACTTCTTGATTTCCTGCCTCCAGTTTTCCTAATTGGATCTTGAAGAACAACATGCTCTCGATTTTGGTCCAAAAAGAACCAAATCAATAATTAGTTTAATACCTGTTTTCTTCCCCACTTCCATGTGGGCTTCTGGTAGATGGTGTATGCAGTGAAACTTTGTCGTTTCTCATCTTAGAATTGGTGAACGTGGATGTAATATCTTGCCTGAACTTCTATCATTTGAATGGATAAGAACACTTCTCCTTTTCAATAATCAGCTATAGGAAAATGTGGAGGTGGACAATATATGAATTGAAGTTTCTACCTTCTGCGATAAGAAAGGCCTCCCAGTAGTATGGAAATTTGGACGGGTGATTTTTAATATATTTAACACACAATTATTTATCTTTTTTCATATCTAATTAATAATCGAGACTCGTGATGCATTGTATAGTATCTTTGTGAATATTAGATTTGACCGATAACAATTTTATTTTAATTTTGGCCTTATCGTGTTTGTTCCACAAATCTAAAGTTGTTAATTCTTTTGTAACCAATTTGGATTGATTTCTTAGATAGAATCTTTCCATGCTCCAACATTGAATCAACACCTCTTTGTTGGTCGCAAGGGAACTGGCTGTCTATGTATTTTATATATTTAGTTAGATGCGATTGAATTTAATTAATATGATTAAAATATGAATAATCATTTCGTAGATTTGTGGCATTATACTATATTGACAAGTCCTAATATGAATTCATTATTTTTTAGTGTTGCAAATATTTTGTTCTCCAAATAGTTGTTCGCAAGTTTTGAAACTTTTATAAATTCGTTTAATTATGGCCAAATTTTAGTGGCATACATATTGACAATTTGTTCTAAAAATATAGAAATCTTCTTATATATTCAATTTTATATACTCTAGCTAATTTTTATATGAGCAATTTTATGTAGCTTATGACAATTTGGCATTGTACAGATTTTTCATTCATATTAATGTCATATTTTGAGCATGATAATTGTAGTGTTTTATGCATAAGCTGATAGTAAAGCAAGTTGTTTCCTACGTGTTACAATTGGTTTGTTATAGTTTTTCTAATTTCTAACATGTTAATAATTATGGGGCTACTTCATTTGGAATGTAACTGTATATAGAAATAATTGTTCCTTGTTATTGTTGACCAAGCTATGATTGCATTTATTTGAAATGATTATAAAATATTTCTAAGTTGTTTTTGGTGATGCAACTTAATTTGTAAAGCTAAAGGATTTTATTAACAATAACTTATGATCCCGTATCTTAAATTATGGTGGATATTGGGAAATTTATTTAACCATGAATTTTCATTAAATTGAAAACCATTTGTTTACTTATATTATATATTTTTTTGGGCCTATAATTTTCTTTCTCATTTTTTTTTTGGCCGGGAGTAGCAACCGTGAAAATTTTCAAATAGAAATTAATGGTAATTTAAGATTTTGCTAGGTACTTAATAAATTGTTGAAAGTTAGTAATGGTTGTTTAAGATGATCATAGATACTATGTGTGTGAAATAATTGTTTAAAACAATGTTTTAGGATCTTTCTAGCTACATATATGTGGGAAATTGGTGATGCTACATCTGTGAAATTCGTGGTGGTTTGAGATCTTGGTGGTTATATTTGCTTGCATATATTTTCATTTGATTCAAAATATAAAATTATTTATTATTGATATTTTATTGAGCATGTCTATGTTAAAAGGAAAAGTTACACATAAAATAGTGTACCATTTATGTGTGGACAGTTATTCAAAACTATTTCATTATGAGTTTATATTTGTGATTCATAGAAACAAATATTAATGAGGCATGAATTATAAATTTATACGATTGGTTAATTACTCATGTGTTATCGGGTGCTAAATAGTAAAGTGATGATGTTAGTTAAATTATGTAGTAAATCAAGGGAAATGTCTCATTCGCAAAGTTTATTAATATA